CAAATTTATATTGCTAAAATGCGCTGACAAATTTAATCAAACCGGAAAACTACAATTTATATTATAGAGAACTGTTCGACGTTGTGTATGACACAAGATTTCTGCTTTTTTTTTCGTTAAGAACTGCTGCTAACAAGCAAGCAAGCTGCTTCAAAATCAATACGCAAAGATGAGCGACGAATATAATTCAACGTGGAATGTGATAAATCACATTGAGAAGTACTACTTACCGATTTTCTTGTGTCTTTCTCTGCTGGGCAACAGTCTATCCGTGTGTGCGCTCTTTTGCACAAAACTACGTTACAAGTCATCCAGCATCTACTTGGGTGCACTGGCGATGAGCGACATTGGTGTGTTGGTGACGGAATTCGTGTGGTGGTTAAGGAATATGAAAATTATAACTCAGAAATATTGGTTGCTAATCCTATGTATTGGTTTGACATTTTTATTTAGTTTTTTGAGTGTGTGGATTGTAGTGACCTTTACAGTTCAACGATATATAGTGGTCAAATGGCCGCTACTTCGTCGCTCCTTGTGCACAGTTAATCGAGCGAAAATCATAGTGATTGGACTGGCGGGATTAGCAGTTTTATACTCAATCCCATGGATTATTATGGAAAACATATGGTACACAAATTTAGATGCAGATAAGAGAGAAAACTTATTGTACTAGTGGTGGATTTTTAATATCATTGATAGTATTATAACGTCTTTCTTACCTGCAACAGTGATAGTAATTTTCAATGCTCTAATAGTATACAACATCCGCAAGCAAACTCGTATCCGAAGAAACATGATTTCAAGTTTTTCTGCTTCCAATACGAACACACAAAGTTCTGACAATGTAGCGTCTCACATTAAAGTCACAAAAATGCTTGTTATCATTTCAACCTTATTCATATGTTTGAATGTACCTTTATTCGTCGTTACTCTTTATTTCTTCAATAGCGTACGTATTAACATTTTTTGTTAAAGAAAAATCAACTATCAAATACAAGATTTCTTTAAAGATGCATTTTACATATTATAAAAGGCTATTAATAAATTTCTTTTAATTCAAGTTTTTTCTATTATTCTTAACATTTTACTAAATAAAATGTGAATTAATACAAAAACTGTATTATTCTTTACAATTTTTTAATAATAGTTAATTGTAACGATACTAATCATATTTACAGATCTGTGGTAGATATTGTTTCATAATTCTGTACATCGCCAAATTATTATGGCTAGCAAATTATGGAATGGACGTTGTTTTGTATTGTGCAGCTGGGAAGAATTTTCGCAGAGAATTGATCTGCATGTTTACGAAATCTTCAGATACTAGAAGAAACGCAGGTATGGACATGGAAAATTTCAAAGATTAGTGCAATTATTATTTAATCGTGCAATTATTATAAAATAAAATAATAATAAAACACGACATCAAAAAAGCTAATTAAATTATATATATTATATATTGTGACGTGACGCTTTTCGAGCGCCGTCACAAGGGCGATGGCCTGGCCGAGGGAGCAAAGAGTCCTGGTGTTGCTCCTCGCGTGGAGAGAGCAACCCGCGAGACTCCACAAGTTGTACGCGTTGTTTGTATTGTCATTCCCGTTTTATGTCGTTAATATCGTTTTTAAATTGTAAGGCGAGACCCCGTGCGGGCGGCGTTGCGTGTTTTGTGCCTCAGGGCGAAGATGCAGCATCGCCAGGAAGACCGGACGCCGAGGGACCATCGACGGGTGTCACGCGTCAGTGACCCCACGGCATAAGATCAGGTACCGCGATCCCGTCGCCTCCGCCATCCAAGCCCTATCTAACTCTGCTTTGGTTTCAGCCACAGAGTCTAAGAAACGCAGAAACACACAGCAGCGGACCTCGCCCGGCTGCAGACGGCTCCGGGGACCCCGAAGATGCTGCACCCGGAAGGACCGGAGTATGGCCCGGCCAGCCTAACCAGTCTCTTCCGGGAACATCGACTCATCGACACGATTAACGGCCGAAAGATTTGAGGAAACCACAGAGAGCGGAGGGGGCGCCCTGGATGAACTGTGGGCGGTTCTCAGGGGCCCCCCTTTTCGGAAAATCGGCAGGATGCGCAGGAAGGCGACGCGGACTTGGAGAGGACCTACGTGCAGAGCCGAGAAGAGCCACTGTTCGGTGTGCCGCAAGTGCGTGAGGACGACACCCGGGACTCAGCCCGACGACACCGAAGACGCCGAAGACGTCCACTCGTTGTAAGCCGCCTCTCGGGTAGCCGTAGAGTTCCGTCCGGTTATGGCTGGTAGCGTGAGTTATGTCTGTATTTTGTGTCTCTCACACAATTAACCATAGTTCTGATACCGTGAGCGCTCAATTACGCTCAATTACCGCATGTCCAGCCGGCTTCGGATAGCGCGTAAAAAGTCTCTCCGACTTGCGGGGATTAAGTGCCGACAGTCTCTTCTCGTTACCGTTTCGTTTGTCGTTCGTCTTGTTACCGTACCGTTCTACCGTTATCGTTCTTTCGAAGATACCGATTGCTACCGTCGTTCCGTTACCGTTTCTTTTGAAAGTACCGATTATTACCGTCTTTTGGTCGCGTTAGCACCGTACCGTGGGTGAATGTTCGCGGGCGGATTTTGATTCGGGAACGTTCTCCGCGAGACTGCTGTTACCGCAAAGTTAGCGTCTCGGCGAGAAGCGTGAGAGCCCGCGAAAAATAGCCGACCCGCGACATATCCTTTCTGGCCGTTAGGCTACCGTCGTTTAAAGTCTATTTATTTGGCCTTCACCGGCCGTATCGGATGATCAAAATATAAGTCCTTCGTTGGCTGTATATAGTCGGATCAGCGGCGAATTATCGTAATCACGTTCCCGAGATTTGATGTAGGCATCGAACTCGATTCTCGTTACCGAATTTATAGGGCAAAGGGCCCTACTATCGTATCAACCTATTTCCGCCCCGTATCGGCTCCGGCCGAATAGTTTAAGCATCTTTACCCTTGTAAACTAAATCACTGAAATACATCATTGTTAACTGTTAATTATTGAGTTATCCTTGCGTTAGCCTCTCACTCCAGATATCTAACGTTAAGTAAAAGAACTGCGCCCCTCTGCCATATACTGAGCGGGGAGCGGCCGAGCAATTTTGAGAACTGTTAAAGTTACCGATACCGCGGTGCGATTACTCGCACCTGGCGCCCATTTCCGGTTACCGATATCGCGTGAGTTACCTTGCTCCCGAATTTTGTGGAGTACCGCAAGTTACCGAATCGTGCAGTTATTGCCGATTTCGCGAGTTACCTTGCTCCCGACGAGCGTGGAGTACCGCGAGTTACCGAATCGAACATCTGCTTCCGATACCGTAAGTTACCGAATCGAGCATTTATTGCCGATACCGCGAGCTACCGATTTCCATTGGGCGTGCTCCCTCGGATCTGGCGTGATTCCGAGGCCAGTTCACGTCGCAATATTATGTTATATTATATATTAGAAAAAAATTTTGAAATATTATTTAATTATTTATTATTTAATTAAATACATAGTTTCTTTACTAAAAATGTATTTTTTGTAAGCAATATTCTACATATTAAAAAAGGATATTAATTAATTAATCTCTTCTTTAAAATTAAATTTTTTTTTTAAATTTTTAATGTTTAATCGTTACATTTGCTAACTATAAAATAAATGCTACAATAGTCGAACACATTTACATATATGACTACATAATAATAAAAAAGTAATTACAATTATTTATAAATATTAAATCCTTAAACGGTATTAAAGAAAAAAAAAATAAATGTAACTATACTTGTCAAATAGTTGGTTACTAATATTTACTTTATTATATTATACAATATTTTTATGAAGTTAAAAGTTTGTATTTAAATAAAATGCATGCCAAATTATTACGCATTACTGTTAAAACAATATAAATTTAATTCATATAAAAATTGTATTAATATTTATATTTCTTTAATTATGACATATAACGGTAATCATGTTTGCAGATAATTTATGATTCGATTCCATAAGTTACTGTCAGTAGTTGCATTTAGACAGCAAATTTTGGAATAAATTTTGTTGTTTATTATACAACTTGAAAGAAATTTCGCAAACAATTAATCTAGATGTTTACGAAATATTCGGACATTAGCAGAAACGTAGAGACATCATGGATATTATGAAAATGAAAGATTATAACGAGTGGTGTGATTAATACTATCATGCAATTACAATTGTGATAAAATACGACGGTAGAAATATCGTATTATATTTAACTTTACAAAACAATGTTTACATATAGCATTTACATTAAGTAATAAATGTGTTACATGTATATATATTTTTGTTATTTAAATTTATAGAATAAATTCTCATTTTACTTTATAATTTTTAACTTGATGCCTTAGGAATTATATATTACACGATTAAAACAGAGATTAATTAAAGTTCCTTTTAATTAAAAATATATGTTGACATTGCAGTTAACGTTGTTTAAATAAAAAATCTAAATAAAATTGTCTTATTAAAAAATTTAATCAACTTTTGTTACAACGCAACATATTATATGTGTCACTCATCGGTTTTTATGAGAGCCCGATATTAGCCACATGAGTGACAGCAAGAATTTTTAATTTATATCTAAATTATAGTTTTTAATAATATAAATAAAGTCTGCTTTAAACCACTAGACAAGCTTAAAAATAGTACAGTGTATAACAGACGTTTGATCTAAAATGATATAATGTCTCCAAATCTTAGTAACTATAGTATTAAGAAGGCTTAATTAATCTGTAATAACGGTGAATAATACAGCAGTACATATTTGACTAAATCACACTTATATTATATAAAATTAAAAATAAAACAAAACACGGGGTTGTAGCCAGTTTTCCAATCATACGGCTGTATAGATTTTATATTACTACAACGTAAAATGCGCTGACAATTTTTCACTCGAACCGGTTTACATAAACCGGTTTATAATTGAACTGTTTACATTAACACAGAATTGTTTGACATTGCGTATGACACAAAGTTTTATCCACTCTACGTTCAGACACTTTCTGCTTTTTATCTCGTTAACAACCGAAGTAACAGATTCAAAATCAATACGCAAGGATGAGCGACGAATATAATCCAGCATTGAATGTGATTGGGCACATTAATAAGTACTACGTACCGATTTTTCTGTGTCTTTCTTTGCTGGGCAACAGTCTATCCGTGTATGTGCTCTTATGCACAAAACTACGTTACAACTTATCCAGTATCTACTTGGGTGCACTTGCAATGAGCGACATTGGTGTGTTGGTGACGGTATTCGTGAGGTGGTTTAGACAGATGGAAATTATAACTCAGGAATGTTGGTTAATTCTATGGCTTGGTTTGCAATATTTATTTTGTTTTCTGAGTGTGTGGATTGTAGTGACTTTTACAGTTCAACGATATATAGTGATCAAGTGGCCGCTATTTCGTCGCTCTTTATGCACAGTTAAACGAGCGATAATCATATTGACTGGACTGGCGGGATTAGCAGTTTTATTCTCAATTCCATGGTATATTGTGAGCAGTAATTTTTTCTGCATGAGATTTAATACAAAAGATGACATAACAAATTTAAAATTCTGGAAAACAATTTTAAGCACTATTCATACTATTATATCGTTTGTCTTACCTGCAACAATGGTAGTAGCTTTTAATACTTTAATAATGTACAATATTCGCAAGCAAAATCGTATCCGAAGAAACTTGATTTTAAGTTCTTCTGCTTCCAATGAGGAAACACAAAGATCTGACAACGAAGCGTCACACATTGCAGTCACAAAAATGCTTGTTGTTATTTCAAGTTTATTCATATGTTTGAATGTACCTATAGAAGTCGTTACACTTTGTAGCAGCTATGGCGTACGTATTAACTTTTATTATTGAAGAAAAATCAGCTAATAAATCAAATACAGAGTTTTTTTACTTTAAAAACATATTTTACATATTACATAAAAATATTAATTAATTTTTAATATTTTTTTCTTTGTATTATTTCTAAATTTTTTAATGCAATCGATATAAAAACTGTGTTATTATTCATTGTGTTTTAATAATAACTTATAACACTAATCATCTAATTTTGCAGATACGGAATATATATATTACCATACTTATGGAAATCGGCAATTACTTATTTATAATAAATTATGGAATAAATTTTGTTCTCTACTGTGCAGCTGGAAGGAATTTTCGCAGAGAATTAATTTGCATGTTTAGGAAACATTCAGATAGTAGAAGGGAAGATGTAGAATAAAAAATATTAAGGAACAGTGCGATTAATACTTAATTATTCAATTGTTATAAGGTAATGTAATGATAAAATATGACGGTATACACATATTATATGAATTATTAACCATTATTTTTTACGATTATTTTTACAATTCCTACAATTAAATTAATGCGGAAAAAATAAAAAAAATTTCCTATACTCTTTATTAATGTAATAAAACTTTATATTTTGTTATAGATTTACATGTTATGTTTAAATACACTTGGACAAAAAAAGGAGATTTATTTGTTACAATACACAAAATAAAAAATTCTTGAGAAACGCTAAAACTCTTGTTCACGAAATCACAGTATATTATATAAATATAGTTAAGTATAAAAAGCTCAATAAGCACGTTCGAACTACTAAAGAATATTAATAGTATCAATAAAAAAGGATATATATTGTTTTCAAATTACAGTTCAAATCAACAGCTATTAAAAAAACAATCGATCTAAGATCACAATGTATAATAGACCAATACATTTTTTTCCTACATTGCTTTACAAAAAATAAATTTATATTATTTTATTATTATCTAATTATAAGTTTCCAGTAAATCTATTTTTATTAAAAGCTGCTATAAACAATTTAAAATCAATACGTAAAAATTGGTGACAAAAATGATTCGGTATCAATTGCGATAGAAACTTTTAGTAACATCTCACCGTACTACTTACCGATTCTCTTGTTTCTTTTTTTGTTGGGAAACAGTCTGTGCGTGTATATATTTTTCTGCTCATCATTACGTTATTGCTCGTTCAGTATCTACGTAGATGCGCTCGCGATAAGTGACAAGAGTGGTTGGTGACGGTTTTCGTACGCTGGCTCGAATTTATAGAAATTTTAAATAATGACTATTGGTTGGATATTCTTCTGACTGTTTCACTAACGTTATTTATTTTCTTGAATGTGTAAATTGTTGTGATTTTTACTATTCAACGGTATATAACGATCAAGTAATTTTAATTTTGATGAGAGTTTGAGTTTCGCGGAAAAATAAACGAGTCCTGCTACGTGGCACACGCGGCACTGTATTGTTCGTTTGACTGGCGCAGTTAGTTCCGTCCCAGACGTCGTATCATGTACTACGCTGTTACAATAAATAATATCTGCTACAAATTTTTTCACTCTTTGGACACACTCAACCTGGCGAAAATCGCAGTGATTGGACTGGCAGAGTTTGCAGTTTTATACTCTATCCCATAGTTTGTTATATACAGCATAAAGTACACGTATTTAGATGCACATGATGAGAGAAAAAACTTGATATACTGGTAATGGATTTTAGAATCTATCGATGCTATTATAACGCTTGTCTTATCCACAACAATGACAGTAATTTTTAATGCTCCAATATTGCATAATATCCGCAAGAATAATCGTATACGAAGGAACTTAATTTTAGGATCCAATAAGGAAACACAAAGTTCTGACACTAAATCGTTAAAACCATACATTAAGTACGCAAAATTGATTACAACTTGTTATTATTTTAAGCATATTTATATGTTTAAATGCATCTTTCCTAATTTTTCAACAACTTATTGCCTTCGATAAGATATCTAAGGTAATTACTATTAAAGAAAAATCAACTTCAAATACAGAATTTGTTTACTTTAAAAACGCATTTTACATATAAAAAACTATTAATTAATTTTTCCAAAATTAAAATTTTTTTATTACGAGTATTCCTATCGTTTAATCCAATTCATATAAAAACTATTTTTGTTTATAATTTTTTAATGATAAGTTATAATAATAATAATTATATTTACAGAGCTCTGGTAAACTTTCATACATAATTTGAGTCATTTGCCAATTATGGGTAGCAAATTGCAGAATAAACTTTTTTCTTCAAGGCGCAACTGGGAAGAATTTTCACAGAGAATTGATTTGCATGTTTATGAAACGTTCAAATAGCAGAAAAAACAAAGGTATAGAGATGACAAATTTTGGGAAACAGTAATGGATACTTAATCATTCAATTGTTATATATAAGATAATATTATAATGAAACATGATGGGGTATATACATACATATATGTATATAATGCATACACATTTTACATGAATCACTAATTTATAATTTATAATTTATAATTTTAGTTTATTTTTTAATTTAAAAGTGTTTTCTCAGTATATTACAGTAGCAAATTTTTTTTATAGAAATATGTACAAAATTATTTTTGTTGCTCTTTTGTCTTTCAAAAATCATATAATATGCGATTAAAATAGAACTAATTAAAATTTTTAATTAAAAACGCATGTGTAATTAACGATACTTAGGTAAAAAAATTAGCTTAAAAGTAGCCGCTACTTTGTCGCTCCTTGTGCACAGTCAACCGAGCAAAAATCATAATAACTGGATTGGCGGAATTAGCAAATTTATATTCGATCCCATGATTTGTTATGAAGATTACAAAATTCAAAAATTTCTTTTTAACTTGATACATTGGTAATAAATTTTGCATAATATTGATGCTACCCGCAAAAATGATAGCAATTCTTAATGCTCTAATAGTAATCACAATATCCCCTATCATTATATACGAAGAAACTTGATTTTAAGTTTCAATGCATCCAATAACAAAACTCAAAGTTCTGACAATAAAACGTCACATATTAAAGTCAGCAAAATTCAAACATATTTATATGTTTAATGCATCTTGACTGTATTTTCCACGTGTAAATAACGATATGTGCCGGTGATTATAAAAATAAAATAATAATTAAATAATTGAGAAATAGTTGGAACTTCCTTAATTTTTATTATTTAACTGTTTTTAATTTTATTTTTTTTATTGACAATTTTTATTTGTGTCAAGAATATAAATCGAATAAATTTATTAAAAACATATATGTATGTGTCCATAGCACTCGAAAGGTAAAGTTAACATGTCACATCTATCATTTATGTACATACATATATCTTTTCGACAATTTCAAAAATGGCTGAATATATGTACCTATATCCAACACAATTGACGGACTCCCGATATCAACACATGCAACAATTTTTATTATTTCTTTTGTCATTCAGAAATCATACATTATACAATTAATACAGAAATTAATTAAAATTTTTTCTAATTAAAAATATATGTGCAATTAACAATGTTTAAGTAAAATATTTAATTAAAATAGTTTTTCAAAAAATTTAATTAACTTTCTCTATTACTTATAATTCAATTAACTTTTCCTACCATTTATAATTTAACTAACTTTTCTGCATCATATTGCATGTGTGACTCAATGTGGAGGTCCTCATGGGAGTCCGATATTATACACACAAGAGTGACAGAAAAAATTTTTAATTTATATATAAATTTTAATTTTTTTTAATTATGAAATACAGTCTGCTTTAAATCATCAGACAAGCTTGAAAATAGTACAGTGTATAACAAACGTTTGATCTGAAATAATATAATGTTTTCAAATCTTAGTCACAGTAGCATTAAGGAGGCTTAATTAATCTAATAATAACGGTGAATAATACACCATTACATATTTTACTAAATTGCTCTTTTATTATTTAAAATTTTTAACAATAAAACAAAACTGTAACAAATTTATATTGCAAAAATGTTCTGACAATTTCAATCAAACCCGAAAACTGCAGTTTATTATATTAAAGAACTGTTTGACGTCGTGTATGACACAAGATTTCTGCTTTCTTTTTCGTTAAGAACCGCTGCTAACAAGCTGCAAGCAAGCTGCTTCAAAATCAATACGCAAAGATGAGCGACGAACATAATTCAACATTGAATGTGATAAATCATATTGAGAAGTACTACTTACCGATTTTCTTGTGTCTTTCTCTGTTGGGCAACAGTCTATCTGTGTATGTGCTTTTTTGCACAAAACTTCGTTACAACTCATCTAGCATCTACTTGGGTGCACTTTCGATGAGCGATATTGGTATGTTGGTGATGGTATGCATAAAGTTGTTTGGAAACGTGGAAACTATGGAATATTGGTTGCTAATCTTATTGAATGGTTTTCAAACTGTATTTTGTTTCCTGAGTGTGTGGATTGTAGTGGCCTTTACTGTTCAACAATATATAGTGATCAAGTGGCCGCTACTTCATCGTTCCTTGTGCACAGTTAATCGAGCGATAATCATAGTGATTGGATTGGAAGGATTAGCAGTTTTATATTCTATATTTTTTTGGCTTGTTATATGGAACACAGCGTACAAGGATTCAAATATTGTTGAAGAAGAAATGATCTGGCAGATTTTTTATACCATTAATGCTATTATAACGTCGTTCTTACCTGCAATAATGATAGTAATTTTTAATGCTCTAATAGTATACAATATCCGCAAGCAAAATCGTATCCGAAGAAACATGATTTCAAGTATCTCTGCTTCCAATAAGAACACACAAAGTTCTGACAATGAAGCGTCTCACATTGAAGTCACAAAAATGCTTGTTATCATTTCAACCTTATTCATATGTTTACATACACCTTGGAACGTCATTCTACTTTGTTTCTTATATAAGGTACGTATTAACATTTATTGTTAAAGAAAATTTAGCTATCAAATAAAGAATTATTTTACTTTGGAAACACATTTTACATATTACAAAAAAGTATTAATTAACTTTTTTAATATTTAAATTAATTTTTGTCATTATTACTAAATTTTTTAATTGCATTAATATAAAA